AAGGATTACAATTTGACTGAATTTAGAATAAATAGAATGACACCAAAAATTTTGAGCCAGTTTCTAACTGCTCTAAAGTTAACGTATGTTACTCTATGGATTATATTCTGAGTAGTTTTTAATCTTTTGGTAGGCAACTGAAGCTCAACCATACTCTGGCAAAGTTGGATCTGAGGACTTGGACAATGTTGACATGGCTTACAGGGTTGTGGCAGACCACATTAGAACACTTTCGTTTGCCATTGCTGATGGCTCTTGTCCAGGTACATTACTAAAATCATTTGGTTGTTCATTCAATACTTAGGTTCTCTTGTTGTTATTAACTTGCATTTTATATTAGCATGTGAACATGAACCTTGTCAGCCTTACCGTTGACAACCCACATTCTGTAGGTCGACAGACTTCTAAATTATCATGCAGATGTTAATGCGCGGCTGCATATTTATGCTAGCTACCTGCAGATGTTTAGTTCTGATAATATAGTTTATTATAAAGTAAGAACACGTGATCGCTATTTGCGGATCAGTGCATGATAATTACAAGGGAGAATGGGAAAAAAATTGTTGCTATAAGGACCTTGGCTTTATAGGATGAAGGTCAACTAAAGTTGTTTTTTGTCTTTTGGAGTTCTTCATGGTTTTCAAACTGTGGAAATTTTCTGTATGAAATTCCTTATTGTAAAGTTGATTGGTCGTCATTTCACATATTCTAATCTTGGAGGTGAATGAGCTATATAGTAGAAGCACTCCTACTCGCTTTGTCCTATGCTAACGCATGTACATTTTACATTAGTTGAATTCATGTATACTTGAATTTATGCACATGGTGGTATGTGTGTGTTTATAATGCTTACATTTGCCTGTATTCATATATTATACGTGTTTGGTTTGCCTCCAATTTGCTTTTTGTTTTTGTTACTTATATTTACTTTTATGGGTTTGAATCTAAATCAGATTTTATGCAGAGTACGATTTGGTACTCCGTTATGTGGTAGCCAGATTTAGAGGCATCATGCGTTAGTTCTGTTTGAACATTAAGATCAGCAGTTGGATAATATTTAATAGAATACGACATTTTGTTTTAATTACCTATCTATAATCTTCATCTTGAAATAATATCTCTAGAATACACTCTACTGGATTCTGCAGGCAACGAGGGTCGTGAATATGTCCTAAGGCGCATCCTTCGACGAGCTGTGCGATATGGTACTGAGGTCCTCAAAGCTGAACAAGGTTTTTTCAATGGGTACGAATGGAATATTTACATTTGCTATTTTTTCGGTTACGAAATTATGGGTTACATGAATTTACATGTTTGTTTCTCATATTTAAATATAATTATGTTGAAAACAGGCTTGTAAAAGTTGTGGTGGAAGTGATGGGTGATTTTTTCCCAGAGCTGAAACAACACGAGATAAAGATAAGGGAAATCATTGCTGATGAAGAGGCCAGCTTTGGTAGGACATTGGTTAAAGTATGTAAATTCCACTTTTCTCATTTTTATTTTCTGTTTCCTCTATGTGTGTGTTTCTTTGTGTAGTTGGGGGCAGGCACATACAATGTTTGGACTATGTGTAGAGATTATCATATGCTGGCATTAAGTCCCATTGCTTACATCAGCCTCTACATTCATCGGAAGGATTCAAATATGACCTAGCATTAGTGTCTTGGGTGATTCACTTTAATTATCATCGTCCAGTTAGTTACAATGCTTGTTCTACTTGCTATAATGTTCCAGTATAAGGTCCATTTATGTTGAAAGTTAAGAATGCGACAAAGTAACAACAGAGGAGCAAAAGTTACTTTTGATTCTATCCAAGGATTGACATTTGAAAATAGACTAAGCTTTTCAACTTATTGATACTGAGAGTATAATCAACTTTTCCTTTGTGGGCTATGATGCACCGATACGGACACGTGTGTCCGACACGATAAGTGTTGGATACATAGACTCGTGATTGTTCAAAAAAGTACCGACACGACACGTCGTCGACATGTTCATTAAATTCTTTAAAATTCTTCATTTATACAGTTTAAATTTGGTTTTATACTTATTATTGATTTTTTTTATTTAAATCTTTTAAATATGAGTACTTATTTGTTATTTACTAATAACTTTGAATTAAAAATATATAATAGCTATAATAAGAAAGGAAAATGATTATTGTAGAGTATCCGAAAAGTATCGGTATTGACTTGTGTTCGACACGTATCAGACACGGACACGCTACCCTAGCTAGAGTGTCTGTGCTACATAGTTTGTGGGTGTCTCCCATAAATAGTTTTGCTTGTTTGCTTCCAAGATATGCAGTGGAGTGTTACTAGACCATATGTTACCTTATTGCTCACTATACTTGGGTAAATGCACCCAAAGTGCTATCTCTATTATAGATTATACTGTTATAGGGACTAGACGAAATAGATCTATCTTTGGCTTTCGAGCATTCACCTCCTTCCCTTGTCTTTGTCCTTTTGTTTTGCGTTCATAGTATTTTCTAACTACCCCCTCGCACTCTGATTAATTCAATGCTGAAAATGGTTAACTGTTTCCTTATTTATGAATTAGTTTTTCATTGAAAAAATTAATGAGCGAGATATGATCCTGTTTAGAGACTAACAAACTGCTTATATTGGTTGACTTCTCCTTCAGGGAATTGAGAAATTTAAGAAAGCTGCACAA